CTTTCTCTACCAGCCGCTTGGGCACAGCAACCTTTGAGAAGCCTGTAAAACACGGGTATTGGCGGTTGCAGCAACATGCAAATCGCTGCGGCGTGGATTCCTGGCTAAGCTATGTGTATTCGGTCGAATCATGGCGCTATAACGGCCTGGTGTGCTGCCTTCGAGAAAATCGCAAATAGGAAAATATCTGCATCAAACTCTCACCGGAATCTTAACAAATCGCATTATTTACCGGACTCCGTGTTCCCTCTCAAATCTCGAGGAGTTTCATTTTCTGGTTTTCCCAGCATCTACCGTTGCTTTTTATTTTTTTTACTAGTCGTCACTCACAGTCCAGCCTTAGTTACAGCTCTTCCCTCTACAGCAATGGGCCGGCGAAATGTGGTGATGAAGGCAAATGGATTTGACAATTTCTCAGTCCGCATTTCCTCAATATTTAAGCATCCCTATCGACGACGGACTAAGAAAGCAACACCTCAACACCCAGAGCGACATGTTTGGACACCGGACCTCGTGACTTTCGTTTGTGATGAACTCACCGATCCGTGCACACGAGCGGCCTTTCTTCGGCGTCATGCTTATCACGAAATATGCTCAAACCTCCCTCCGCTTTACCTCCTGCCCCACATTGGTGATATGATTGAAGGTAGCAATCAGTCGACGCAACTCTGCAACTCAGAGGATAAGGGCATTCGAAGCACTGATGGACTCTATCAGAGATACCTCGAAACACCTAGCATATGTAGGAAAAGTCTGGAGGCTCTGGATACTAAGATACGCTCATCGCTCAGTGCAGATTTGGGCATGTTTGTGGATATATTGGAGCGGACGTTTTGCCTCCTTGCTAACAGCACCAACAATACTATGTTGGACGAATGTATTCATTGTCGGGTGCGTCATTCGACCAAGCGTATTTCGTGTTTTTTTGCATAGCCATAATCGTGATGCTTCCTTCAAGTAAAGTTTGTTAAATCCTGTCGTCATGGTTTCGTATCTACAATTTAACTCTTACTAGTTTTATTGTCTGGTTGGTATATTGTTGACTAGAATTGTTGCCAAACTTGTTTATTGTCACGTTTGAACAGCACCAAGAAGTGAGAATGCTGATTTTGTGTCGATTTGGTCTTTTCCCAGGTCCATTTTGTCGCACTGTTGGTGAACGTGTTGCCTTTCCTTAGATATTGATGCTATGTAATCTGAAACTTAAGATGCACATAAAAGTTATATTTTGTGGATTCAAGGGAGTTTTAATGCATAGGAGGTGCAAGGGCATTCATAAACTTGAATAGATTACGTCCTCTACTTTTCCAATTAAAGCTCATAGCTCTTACTTGAGACTAATTTTTTGCTCTGACGCCCATTTGACCGTAAATTGATTTAAATTCCGTACCTCACAGCGAATCCTTCCTTACCATGAATGCTTGTGCTTATCGTTGCCATGCCATCCGGATCAAATTCTTTTCTGGCCCTCTGCTCCGTGCATCTAGAGTTGATGTGTGCAAAAATATACAATACTTTTCCCCAAGTAGATCACCTTACTAACCATTTTTGCCCTTTATAGTAGAGCCACTGTTCCCACTATGAATGAACATTGTCCACTTGTATTCTACTCTTGAGTCTCTTATCAACATCCTCTCTTTTATTATTTTATTTTATTGCTGTAATTACGCATATGAATTGGTCTTATTCTGGCTACATTTTGGAAATATTTAGTTGTCTTCGTTGGGTTCTCCTTCAGGATCTCTTGCTGTACATTACTTCTCAAGTTTATTTCTAACTTGTTGCAATTTTTCGGCTCAAGGTATCTTAATTGCGTCTTTCGTGGTCAATGCATTCCTGGTACCTTATCGTGCATCGATTTTAATCTCCCCTTAATGGGGATTTCTTTCTCGTCTTCAGCTTTCCATTGTTGTAAAACAAGCATGTTTTTATTCGTCCTATCATATCATATAACGCTTTACCATAGACTGCATCTATTCGTTGCCCTACCCCTAATTTGAGCGTTGATGGTAGGCTAGCCACACTGGCTTAACAAGAGGAAGAACAACAGAAGCCATTTACTTTGGGTTAAAATTAATCTTATCATTAGTGCTTGGGATGCAAAGCTTTGCATCCTCATGTGCGACGGACCAATAGGAGAGTAGGAATGCGGAGTAGGGATTGCGACCTGCAAGGTCTGATTGGTTGCTGTAACGTCATACCGAAAAGTGTGTGAAGCAGGAGAATGCTCAGCGAGGGAAGGGAGGAAGAGAGGCTGTAGAAACGAATGTGGGAAGTTGGAACAAGGACGTGGAAAAGAATACCACGTTTTCACTATTCTGAGGTTATTCTTGTTTTTCGTCGTATGACTGATTCATTCGTGTTTTGTCTCTCTCATCTGGTGATTGTGAGCGTCGACCTGCATGTCACCATTTTTTTGTACTTATTCTCCATACTAGTTTCCTCCTTCGGTGACTCAGAGTTTGACGGCGTTGTTCTAAGCTTTTCCTTTTTTCGCAGCTCCTTTCTGTAGTTTAATATTGTGTAGTCACTCAGGAGTTCCATTCGAGATCTTTGCTGATCGGGCCATGCTTTTTGATTGTAATATCATCTCGTTACTCTGAACAGTTAAGAGGTTAACTAAATTCTTTTGAAAATAGGTTCTTTCTACAAAACTACTTTCTTGGAAGTCTGCCAACTGAAAAGCGGAGGACAGAGTATTCATAATGTCACGGAGGCGAGCAGGATGGATTGCGTTTGAACTAGGTCAAAAATGGTCTTTCGGATGAACAAGCAGTTTTTTAAGTGGGTTGTGTGGTTAATAGTAGTAGTAGTAGTGGCATAAAAAACACCTGCTTTTATCCACGATGATCTCTACTCTTTAACGACCTTGAAACTGTAGGTGTGAAGTTTGAAGATTCCCAAAAAGGCTAATCATGAGCGCGTGTACTGTACTGTAAGGTCACGGCACTTTTGGT